ATGTATAGGGCATTTAGGGCTAGACCTATATTTTAAAGACCAAGCGGCCCTTGGTGGTTAATAAAAGTTAGCCGCATATCCTTTGCAGGACGTTAAAGAACCAACCCCAGCATATTTTTTTTTTTGCTGTCGGGATTTTTCTAGGCAAATTTTACATTGAGTAGTTTGCGGTTGCTCTGAATGGTCAGCTCTCGATCGAACCTGTGGCACATTTAACAGTTAAAAAGTAAGAAAAGGTCCCTTTACATGCCAGTTTTGCATCGAGCCTATCTGGCTAATATCATATTTGTGAACACCAGTCAGCCATGGAAGGGTGCCTTTACCTCCCAGGGCTTTACCTGGCATCCATTTAAGGCTGGGGGGGACCTGGCAGCCAAGAACATTACTGAACACATCTGTCATCATGTGGAATTGAACCCCTGACCTTCGGATTCGCTCTGTAGACGAGTGTCTAGCTGCTACACCAAAGTTGCTCCCTACTTACCTAACAGTTTGAGAGAAAAAAAGAAATCTGATTCTAACCCAAAGACTTGACAATAAAATAAGACATGGGACAATTTTCTAGCCATAGCCTCAATAGCAACGTCAGAAGTTTCACTCAGACAGAGGTGACTGTTTAAAATGGCCGATGATGGACATATTGTGTTTTATCCTATATGGCTAAGTCTCTGCGTAGAATGGCCAGCTGCATTCCGATAGCATCAGGACAAACTCTGCAGCTCCAAAAATAGGTCCTAGGTATTTCTGTTTTCAAAACAAACCCAAGCAAATCGATAACTAAAACTAAGTGTTTTGAGGCCACTGAGATGTGGGTATACAAAAATGTAAGCCACATTTTATGGAAACAAAATAAGATAAACGGCATTCACTTTTGACAGGGTGATTGGCATGTGATTTACCACTAGTCTGTGATATCTGCAACATTGAGCCCAACACATACAATTTTGGCAAAACCTATTTATTTTTTCTCTCCCAAACCCACATGCAGAGTCTTCAAAGTCAACATCAAAAATCAAATGCAAATTAAACAACACAATAAAATATTACAACAATTAATTAGGAAACAAAAAATCATTTAGCTAACATGGAAAACACCAAAGCTGACATAATAACTGTATGTCCTTTTTGCTGATAAAGTTCCAAGAGCTGATTTCACAGACAGGGAGTTTAGGAATAGCTGATCTGGATACAACATGGAGACGAACAATGAATGGAGACTGACCTGAATGCAGCATCTCTGACACTGAAAACTGCACTAAGATTAAAGGAGAGCATGGAAAGTCCTCTCTAATGCCTCATGTGCCACTAGGCATAAAGAGAACTGATGATGATGATGATCACCTAGATTTTTACTGCTTTAAATAAAGTAATAACAATTTTGATGCCTTGGGCGAATTAGGCACATGCTGTGTTGTGCTGAAGGGCACAGATAATGCAGCCTAGCTGTAAACCACAACACAGCATTCCAACCATGGATCAAAGGGCAAATGCTGAAGAAGAAATATTAAGAGTTTGGAGACAGAGATACGGTTCATGAGATAAATGTTGTAAATACCTTGAACTGCCAGAATCAGAATAATTAACATGGATTGCCTAGAAATGACTAACGAAAATAGAACATTATTTTCAGCAAAGAGAAGGAGATAAAACTTTCTTTGGTCATGTGATGAGAAAAGAAGCATTGGAAAATCTTGTGACGACTGGAAAGATCACTGGTAGAAGAGGCAGAGGTAAACCAAGAGAAATTATGGTGGATGGCTTAAGACAGTGGCATTTAGGAATATCATCAATGAAACTAATCCAGGTCACGAAAGACAGAAATGAGTACAGATGCATGAACACCTATACCAACCAAGCAAGGCATTTAATAATGATGATGATGACTAAAGAAGAAGAACCTTACAGAATGATCTAAAGACATTTAGATAATACGAACTGGAGGAAAAGATTTCAGGAGTGAACATTAAATTTAGTAAGCAAGCAAGTTAATAACATACCAAGAAGATCCGCCCTCTGGAATCCACAATGAAAAAGAAATATAGGAACACTAAAAAGATGCATATCAAAAAGAAATGTTGATTGTTAAGTTGTAATGGAAAGACAAGGAAGGGGAAATGCAAAGATACAGATGTGCAAGTTACTGACAGCTAGAGAGATAAACAACACACTAAAAATGAGAATCATCAAATGTTATGTATTCTCAGTCCTGCTATATGGTGCCGAAACTTGGACAATCAACTAGAAAACAGAAATTAGTCTCTGGAGGTGTGGGTATACACAAGAATAGGTCATACCTTGTATTTCATGGAAACAAAAATGGTCCAATACAGAGGTTCTGGAAAGGCTACAAATGAAAAAAAAAAAAAAAAATTACTTACAGAAATTATAAAGAGACAATTGAAATACTCTGGCCACATTAAAAAACATAACATACTTAAAAAAAAAGACATACTGGGGGAAGACCAAAGGCAAGAGAGCAAGAGGTAGGCAGCGATACAAGTGGGAGGACAACATCAAGAGGCAGCAGTCTGAGAGAGTGTACAACCAGGATAAAGCATGCTGGAGATTGATTGCAGTCAACCTTCATTGTGAAGACAGCAGCTGATTGATTGAAAGACACAAGATATAAATAACACCCTGGATGTGGAGTTTATAGTACAGAAAAGTTGGCAGGGTATAAAGTCACATATAGGCATGCTGCGAGGAAAGCGATGTTCTGCAGAGGGCCTCTACATCTTCTTATTCTTCTTCTTTGGCTGTAAACTCCAGTGAAAAAGTTCTGGTTGTTCATCCACTTCCAGATTTTGGTCTTGTTCCAGAACTTGAAATTCACAACAACAAAAACAGGGCCTCAAAACCAACATGGGGAGACCTCGACATAATGACAATTATGATAACAAATGCAGACGGAAAAGACATTTTTTTTTTTTACATATTGATACTAAATTATAACATGTTCAGATTAACGTAACAATTAAAATTGTGTATAAATCACATAATAATTATGTAACACTTAATGTCTAAAAAACAAGCTACCTTTTATAAAGAAAGGCACGCAAACAAACGCTGCATCACTTCAATGCAGACGCCACACAAATCAAAACTCCTGGAGTCAAATATATAAATGTGAACGTCACAGAATCTGCAAATATTTAACCCAGACCACTGAAGTCAAAATTGAAATGTGAACCTCACAGAATTAACAACACAAACCCAGACCACTAGAGTCAAAATTGAACTGTGAACCTCACAGAGTTAACAACACAAACCTGCATCACTGGAGTCAAAATTGAACTGTGAACCTCACGGAGTTGACAACTCAAACCCGCATCACTGGAGTCAAAATTTAACTGTGAACTTCACAGAATTAACAACACAAACCAACATCACTGGAGACCAAATTTAACCATGAACCTCACAGAATTAACGATACAAACCCCAACCACAGTTCTAGATGTTTTGGGGTCGTTAAAAGCATCAGAAAGCTGGGAAACCCAGTCTTACCACCCTCTAAAATATTGGACTGTCCTGTGATGTCACCTGGGGTAGATAGAATATTAAAAAAGAACCCACTATTAGCATGGGAACCTTTCGTTGGCTACTGACGAAGCTGACAGAGCATGTGTGGGAGTGTCCTGGGTGCAGTAATATCAGTTTTTAATCGATTCGTTCGTTCTGAAAGTTACAATGCTCCAACTGCTGTCTAAATCAATGCAAATCATCCGCAGCTGACCTCAAACTTATCTGTTTCTTAAATACAACAATTACAAGGAACCGACAAATCAAAGTGACAACCACCCTGGATTAAAAAAAAAAAAAAATTCAACACATCATTAGTTGTCAGTCAATATTTCTGGTGTAGTAGCAAGCAGTTAGACCACCGCTGGCTTACTAGGCTCATCGTGTGGCGGGGCAGGAAAAAAGTCTGACCTGGTTGGTTATTGTCTCCTTTCAGGCGAGCCCATTGCCTCGTTAGCCTGAAACCTGGTGGCTTAAGTTTTCCTGCGTGCACCATGAGGAGGTAGAGTTGACCTGGGTGCTCTACGGGTCATTGTCTGGCTACTTAAATTTCACTTGAAAATGAAGAATTTCATCACCCAAGCCACCTGAGAAGCGCAAGACGAATACAGAAAACCACGATAATGGGCTACAACCTGGTAACAGTGAGATGACAAAAGAAGAAGAAGAAGTTGCCAGTCTCTAAAGCAAAGTAATGGACAACCGTCTGGAAAATGAGCAGGTTGATAATAAATTATCTGGAGGTGCTGTGATGTAGTTCCTGTACAAGAATGCTTGAAACATCATAGACAGACAGGAAGAATACAGAAGATACCAGAAGATTCTATTCTAGAGACAAAGCCAGCACAATGTTTACTTCACAGTAAATTAGGCTCAACTTTCCAGATTAAACCTGGCAGCACAGCCTTCAGGACAAGACCCTATTAACTCCGTCTCCCTTCCTCAACAAACAGCAAAGAGTCTCCACTGATGGTACCTGTTGTCATTGGGTTAACTACTTGTCTTGCCTTTCTTTTAATCTTTCTTCATTCCTTTCATCCTGCCTTTCTAAAGACAATGTTCATTTACTTAGCAATCATTCAGGCTCACCTTTCCGGTTTAAACTCACAGCATGGCAAACATGGGGAATGATTGGGGGGGGGGGGGGGATCCACTATCAAAGCAGAATGCTTTAGTTAAAGCAATATTTCTCTTTTAGTACAAGGCAACAAATCATATGCTTATTATTCTCTTGATACATGGCACACATTTCTTTACATCTTCTACTTCACCAGTCACTGAGTTGCCAGGCTGGCTATAAATAAAACAATTGTTTAAACAACAGTTTAATGAACAGCAACAAGAGGCAACTGGTGACAAAAGGTACCTAGTGGCAACAAATACCTGCCAATTTCACTCGGGGTTCAAATGAAAAACTAAAAACAAACTATGCTTATAATAAATCAAAACTAACAGCTAGAACTATGAACAACTGTGGCTGTTTACATCAGCGGCTCTGTGGATGCAGACGTGTAGCTTCTCACACGAGAGAAGATCAGAGGAGGAAAGGTGCGTTTGTTGAGGTCAAAATTACTGGTGACCTCCTCGCCCGTTGACCTGTGTGAAATTAAAGATAAAGTTAAGTTAAAGTTACAGTTGAGATTATCGACTTCATTGCCCCAGATTATCCCTTACAGCTTGGTTTCCACCTGTCTATAAATGGCTATTTGCCTGCTAAGTGAGTCTTGAAAACGACAAACCCTGCAGCTCCAATGATGATCCCCAGGGATTTCCATAGTAATTGCTCTGGTGAACTAAACAATGTGTCTATGAAACAAACTCACAACTTTCACAGCATGAGGCAAACAACTTGACTACTTCTCCAGAAGACCTCGAGAAACAGCAGAAGAACCAAAGTACAGCAATGGTTTGCTGATCTTTAACATTTTCCATCTGTTATGATTAAATAGTGGTCTTTCTGAAAGGTTCAAAGTCACAACTGGTGTCAGACAAGGATGTGTACTGTCACCATAACTTTTCATAACATACATGGATAAGATCACTGTAGAAGCAAACCCAGACGTGTATGCTATAAACGAATTACTTTTTGCTGATGATCAAAGCATACTGTATCAAAATGAATATGATCTACAGGAACATCTGACTACTCTCAACAACAGCTGTTTACAACATAATATGAGAATCAGTACAGAAAAAACGGAAGTTATGAAGATCAGCAGAACACACAGGCCACTGAATATAAATGTTGGAAGTGCCAAAATCAAGCAAACCAAAGAATTCAAACAAGAATACAGAAAGCAAATGCTGTCACATACCAACTATCACCTCTGCTTAAACATCCAGATATAACCATGAAGACCAAAAGACAATTGATAAACACCATCTTCATTCCAACACTCTGCTACCAGTGCCAGACATGGACAATCAACAAGACCCATGAAAGAAAAATAGAAGCCTGTGAAATGAAATGTCTAAGAAAAGCAGCGAATAAGACCAGACTAGACAGGATAAAGAATATAGACATTAGAAACACTGTCAAAACTACACCATGTTTAGACTACATAGAACATCAAAGAATGAAATGGTTTGGACATCTAACCAGGATGAAAAATGACCAAATAACATCACAAATTTTCAACCAAAGAAGCTCAGGATATAAGGCAAGAGGAAGACCAAGGAAACGGTGGATTGACGGGGTCTCCAAAACCTGCCAAAAGCATGGCCTAAGAACATCAGATGCTGCCCGCCTTGCTTATGACAGGAACTTGCATCTCCCCACAACGCTTAGCGGCATACGTGGAAGGAAAAAGTAAAGCAAAGTATGATTAAATACACTCAATGGCACCAGGTTCGACCTCAGCTGTGGGTGATTTGGCAGCAGACCGCCATGGCTGTGACTAAAGCAGTAACATGGCTAGAGACAGACTTTCACTAGTGCATGCTTTCTCAGTGACTAGAGTATGCTCAGGAAGATAGAGAAGGGTTGGGTCCAAAGGCAGTGGTTGGAGGCTGACAAAGATTACTTTCATTTTTGTGCCTGGATATGTGGAGGTACAAGGAAACTAGCAAGCTGATAGGCTTGCAGGTAAGGCTACTGTGAAAGCCGGACAAGCCATAGACCAGGCTGATATACTGAATACGCTAAGAGAGTTAAGACATTGGCGTGAACCAACAGAGAACTGTGAATCTGCAACCATGGTCAGACTGCAAGAACAACATTTTAAACGGGGTGTCACCAAACAAGAACACTACTCGGGTAGCCAAAGAAGAATAATAAACCAACACAGAACTGGTGTCGTTAGCCGCTACACGCTGCAGGATTTACTGAGGAGGGGTCCGAGCACTTATGAACTGAGTGGTTCGACGTGCAGTGAGGATAATCTGTCGACTAACTAACCAACTGTCTTGTGTTGGTTTCACAGTGGTATCCGGAACCAACCGTTTAGAAGGCAAGGGCAGAATCACAAACAGCTAAAAAAAAATGCTGGGGCTGGTATGTCCTGTAAAGGATAAGCAGTTAACTAACTATGACAAAGCAAAAGGAAACCAGGTAGTATCATGGTTAACATGCTCGCCTGTCAGGCCAGTGGACTTGAGTTTGAACCTGCTTTAAAGATACATTTCTAAATAATGATCAGAGCCACAGGATGGTGACTTAGATCATGAAAATGGCTGACGAGCATAAATAATTATCTAAAAATATACTCTCTCATTAAATTAGAGTTCCTCTTGGACGTCCTCGTTTGCTCAGTTAATTGTTTCCCATTTCAGAAGCTGTTTGATGATCTGACCCTTTCTCCTTATCATGCGCCCGACATGTTGCCATCTTTCTGATAAACATATTTGCGCTTAAAGAAATAACCCAAAGTATTTACCTTTGCACAGAAGTAACTGCATAGGAATGCCATACCAGCTGAGCATTGGTTCTCTTGCCACAGGACACCACATCAAACTCCTAGAGATTGAAATGAGTTAATATATTTCGACAAATAAAACAAATGCTGACGGACATTAAAAATGGTCAAGACAGGAGCACAGAAAGAAAATGTGAATGTAAAACATTCACAAGAAAAGGTGAAACAAAAATAAATAAAAGCAAAAACCTTTTCACAAGTTGGCGCACTGGGCTCTGGACCCATATTTTACTGACCAATCGGGAATCGAGGGGTGATGTGGTCAAAATCAAGCCAGCCATTGTTACTTCCCATTTTAGGCTGCGTTGATCTGGGAGCCATGGTCAATTTTGAAAAGAAACCCATTTCAATTTGTATGTGAATCCTAGACCTTTGGGCCGGCAAGCAAGCATCTAGCCACTACACTACTGGAGCTCCCAGAGTTGAAACGAGTAAATATATTTCATGAACCAATATGCTAATAAATAAAACACCAATGGACATTGAGCATGGTCAAGACAGAAGCCTTCTTTTTCTTCTTCTACTTCTTCTTTTTCTCTGGTTCTGTTCCGCCTTTCAGAATCAGTTTTTGAACAGGCAGGTGTGAGCCTTGGTATGTGCTACGTAGATGCTGTTATTTAAGGCACTCAGATATTCCATCTATCCATAAATGTGTGGTCAACATCTAGTTCTGTTTCCATTATTTCTAAGTGGCAGGGCTCTCTGTGGTGCACTATCTGGTGGTAGTTTTGACAAATCTCGGCTGTCATAGTCTACTCTGGTGCCCAGTTCACCGTACTTTGCTCTGACATATCCTCCTTATCTTGACTCAAGGAAGTATCATATTTATCTCTGGATAGACCTGATAGATAAAATGGACTTACGTACCGAGTACCAAAAAGATGTAAGGAAATTCGGGATAGTTGAGGGTAGAGTAGGAGCACAGTTAGAAACATATATTAAATGCCAGATGGATACTTTTAATTATATGGTTGCCCGTAATGCTGCAGAGAAAAAGCGCCAGTTGGAGATAGAAGAATATAATAGGCAGGAACAGCTTAGGAAAGAAGAGTATGAAAGAGAGGAACAGCTAAGGAAAGTAGAGTATGAAAGAGACATACAGCTTATAAGAGAAGAATTAGAAAGAGAGATAGAGTGTATTCAGGAAGGATTTGCTGAAAGGATGCGGCGTAAGAGTGAAGAAATTCATCGAAAACTGCTACTTGAGAGGGCAGAAAAAGATAGGATAAAACAGCAAGCAGAAAACATTAGCGTTGAGGAAACTGCGAGTATATGCGAGGAAAAACCAATACCTCAGGCTGAAACTCAAGCAGGTATGGTGGGGGCCCACTATCTAACCATTGAGGTGAGCACTCCTTGGCCAACCTCAACAGCTAAGGAAGAAAACATAAAAACCGGAGGACAGTATCTCACACCTCTTATTCCTACAGAGAAAAGAGGCAACAAGGAGAACTCTTCTTTAGGGATAACCAGATCTACATTGCTGGACCCCTTAACTTCCATTCTTAAGCCAAAAAGGGAAAGATGGAACAAGAAGCAGAAATCTTCTAAAGGGACCAGATCTACATTGCTGGAACCCCTTACTCCCATTACCTCAGACGAGATAAATGAGAGCGAACCTGACAGTAGTGACAAGCGTGATAACGGTTGTAACCGTAGACATAGCGGTTCGACTGTCACACCAGACATTAATGAGGACGAGGGCAAAGACTTACCCAACTCCCATATCCCCTTTGGTCCCTTCAAACAAGAAGAGGAACTAAAGCAGACTGAGGTAGGGAATAACACGGAACCTGTGTCCCCTATTTCCTTGGATGCGGCCGCATGCCTAATGGAATGTGTTAGTTCTGACTTTGCACCCGAAGGAGTTGACTGCGATGGCGGCAACACACCTCCTGATTTGCTTTCACTGGACTTGGCATATGAAAGCCAGACCAATGTGAATATAGCAGATGAGGAGGAGAGTTCTCTGGACGTCTTGACGATCTTAGAGACTCGACATAAACAGACAATTCTGCTAGGCCTGTGCACGTCGATAATGGACAGACAGAAGTGTTTACCATTATCGAAGAAGAAAATACTTTTCGTGAGCAGGGAGACAACTTGTCTCTGCTGCCCTGTACAGCTGGGGCGACAGGGAAACTTCAGATGAAGGACCTGGAAGCCAAACAAGCCAAGAGTAAAAGGGAACCCCAACACTCTGGTCTTGTAGTACTCTTTGCTTCGAAGGAAGTGACAGGAGTATCTCAGCTGATGGTGGAAACTTCATTGCGAAGAAATCCCACATTACAGTCTACAGGAAACCCTGAGTTTTCTTATGATTCGACTGAACTCCCTGACTTGATTTCGTGCTCTGACTCTGGACTGATCTTCGGTAAAGACAATTCCACCCTGACAATTTGGCAAGGTAAAGACAGAATGCACCGAAGAGGAAACAAATGGACACTCTTCAAAGAAACAGTGGTAAGTGGCACTCACTTCATGGGATCATGATGAGTGAAGAAATCCCTCATTTTAAGAGGAGATTTGTAACAGATTTTTCAAGGATCTGTAGACGGAGGAAAAGAGGATCCAACCTGACTGCAACTAATCTTTTTAGTAGAACACTTCAGGCTCTCCCTAGGCAGATAGGGCGCAGCAAAATGAGGGAATGCACAGAGGTTGTCAGTCAACGGCGCAGAGGAGTCCCGTTGACAAAGCATGGATCTTTTATTATCCGATGGAAGGAAGAACCTCCGGACAAAGGGACATTACCGAGCGACTGCTTGGAATACCCGCTCAATACCAGGATCAATGACAGTATTGAATTATCCTGGATGAAAGGACATGGGATATCTGCAGACGAGTGCAGGAATTCCCACTGCCATAAAGAATACTGGAAACAGAAAACTTATGGGCAGTTATGCTAAGGAGGACTTGAAATTCTTGGAAGCCACAGAGCGTGCAGATGTGCGGTCAGGGTGACCGAACATAAGGGGGAGGCTCTGTGACAATACGCGCGGTGACTTCAGAATGTCTTTCCTTACCTACTTTTATTCCTTTGTGTTTCGAAGTATAACGAAATAAATGGTTTTGGATACATCCCTAATCTAAGTAGGCGACATGAACAAGCATTGAATTTTCCTGGACTGTTGGCGATATCACACACTAAAACTTTTCCCAGACGTTAAGTGTTGAGGTACAGAGATAAGACTGACCAAGCAGACTTACTGACTGGAGATTTGCACACCATCTGTTGGTGTCAGATATTTATCTCCTAGCCAGACTTTTAGGAGCAGATAACTCCGGCTAATTGTGTTTAATTCCCCCTGAGGTTACCTAACTCGAGGGCAGGTCCGACGGTCACTATTGACATGGTGAGCAGAAAGTGTTAACAGAAGAATTGACACCGTCTGATTTTATTGTGATGGCAGGTGAAGTAGGCCGGAGGTGTGACTTGTCCTATTTGCTCTGGTCAGATGAATTGACCAGGAGATTCTGTCCAGCACATGCCATCTGTTGGGCTTAACCTAAGCTTGAGACAGAACTTTTGGCATCGTGGTTTCATTTTCCAGGTAAGATCGAAATTAGGTTCAAATCTATATTTTGTGATAGAAATCTAACTGTCTTTTTACTCAAGTGTGTGTCTTCATCACTTTGTAGTACTCCTAGGCGGACATTTCTTCATTCTCGTAGGGCACTGTCACATTGCTTTATATCCTATTTGATAGTGTCATGAATGTTTTTTCGTGCACATGTGTTTCAATGTTGTAAAACTTAAATGTTGATGTTACCATTGAAATTTAATGAACTATCATGTTTTTGAAATCACAAGCGTGAAGATAACTTGGGCAATCTTTTCACGTGTGGTTAATGTGAATCTGTATTACATACAGCTAACACACTGAAATGTGTTTAACTCTCGGGAGGCTAACGCGGAGATTGATCCCGGAGAGTAACGCCATGAGATTTGTTATTTGATTAGCCCCGGAACTATTGTTAGCATTCTGGGCGCGTCGATTGTTCCAAGCATAGATTCCAGAACTGGTTCTGTCTGACTGATTGTCATTTTGAGTCTGTACGAGAGATGGCACCTGACGTAGAAGACTTGACTATCATTACAGGACGTGTAGAGGAAGGCAGAAGATGTAACAGTTGGAATGTGAGACATAAGCCCTTCCAAATTGGACAGGAGTGAATGTGAGCATGAGGGAGAGATGAAATGTTTTATTTAAATAAACATGCTTGATGTTATTATAATATACATGCTTAGTGTACATCTAGAGCAGATACTACAAATATGCGCTTGTTTCTTCATTCTCCAGTTCCCACATTGGGCAGGGACTAGTAGGCATCCATTATTTGCCGACCGTCGAGTGTAACGACCTGCAGAAAGCAGTGAGGACGACAAACTGGAAAAGATAGGCAGGGTCTCAAGCCGAGAACTGTCCTGACGAGCTAAGTTATGTACAACTTTAATGTCATCTATAACATCATCCCAACTCTACTAGCCTAAACAAGTTCATTTTATTTTAATTTCGATTTATTAAATAAATCTTTTTGATGTCCTTACAACATAGTTGAGTAAATTGTGTACTTAGGTTCAAGTGTCTTTGTGCATATTAGTTTACTTCAGCTAACAAATATTTAAATCACTTGATGGGGGCTTTTCAGTAATGCCAGGAGAGGAGATAAGTCGGAGGGGTTAACTGTGTATCTCGATATTATTACAGTGGGTTTATCCTGATATCTATCTATCCCTTCTCCTACTCCTGTGGATACAAGTACAGCAACTTTCATTTCATGGAACGAGCCACTCGCTGTTTTCTTGGCTATCCAGGACTGACTAGGATCAACATAGCTTAGATAATAGTCCAGTTTCTCACGTGGGTGGGCATTGTTAAGGTTCAAACCCACACCCTCACTATATCAGTGTATTTACCCACGTGGGCGCGCGACATGATCGGTTGTCTCTGAATGTAGTCCAGCAATGATAAAAATAACATACATATCATCATCATCATCAGGTGCCTTGCCGACTGGCGTGGGCGATCATGCCTCTCCATAATCCGCGATCTCCTACAGCATGTATCAGTTCGTGTGCCGACACACCTCCATGCCATGCAACAAGACTGTCAAGCATCTTCTCTCGTTGTCTTCCTCTATCCCTTCTTTCACAGATCTTTCCAGTGGTCACAACATGTTCTATTTTCCCTCTTTTCATAACATGGCCGAAAAATGATGACTGTCTCCTTCTGATGTCTGTGATAAGTTGTCTTCGGGCTCCCGTCTCTTTCAAAACCTCTTCGTTGCTCTTTTTGGCTGTTCAAGGTATTCTAAGCATTCTTCTGTAAAACCACATCTCTGAGGCCTCTAACAATTGTTTGGCCTGCCTACCGATTGTCCAGGATTCACAGCCATATGTTAAAACTGGATGTATGTAGCAAGCAAGAATTCTTTTTCTAACTCTCAATGACAAGGATATATTGCACAAGATGTTTTTCATTTTATAAAATGCAGTTTTTGCCTGCCCAATTCTGTTTCTTATTTCAGTTATGCATCTTCCATCTGATGTTATCCATGTGCCCAGATACTTAAATTTCTGTACCTGTCCTAAAATAACACCATTGACTTTTATTACACATTTAGGAATAATTTGTTTCTTTGATACCACCATTATTTCTGTCTTCTCATTATTCAAACTGAGGCCCATTCTTCCACTTTCTAACACCACAATGTCTTTCATTTCCTGTAATTCTTTCTGACTTGTTGCTATCAACACTGTGTCATCAGCATAACATAAATTGTTTTTAATTGTGCCCACCAACCACAATTCCAGGCATATCAATTAAAGATCTCATTATATATTCACTGTATATTGAAAACAAATAAGATAAAAGTACACATCCTTGTCGTACACCCCTCTTTATGCTTTGAAATGTACCTAAACAGTTAATTCTTATAGCTGCTGTTTGCTGCCAATTCATATTCTTTATTATTCGTAGATCTTTCCCATCAATGTTTAATTTTTCTAACAGTTTGATTACTTCTTCGTGCTTCACATAGTCAAATGCTTTTGTATAGTCTATGAAGCATAAGTACAAATCAGTCTTTACTTCTATAGCTCTTTCTGACAATGTCCTTAGGATGTATATGGCATTGTTTGTACCTTTTCCTTCTACAAATCCACATTGTTCATCGCTGATATCTGGTTTAATTTTGTTTCTTTTTCTTCTCATAATTATTCTCAGTAAAATCTTAGTCATGTGACTCATAAGACTTATTGTGCGATGGTCTTCACATTTTAAAGTGCCTGGTTTCTTTGGCAGAGCTATAAATATGGATTTTAAAAGGTCATTTGGAATGTACCCACTATTATAAATATCATTTAAAAGTTCAGTAATTATTTCAATTCCAAAATCTCCCAGTGCTTCGATTTCTTCCAGTGAGATGTTGTCTGGCCCAGGTGCTTTTCCTTTCTTCATATGATGTATTGCATCCTCAACTTCTGCAGTCATTATTGGTGGACCATCATTGTTGGTCTGCAGTTCTACATCTGGTCTATTATCATCATACAATTCCCCTATATACTATGTCCATCTGTTAATTGTATTACTATGTCCCATTATTAAGTCACCATCTTTTAATTTCAAACATCCAGTGCTGTTATGTGTCATCTTTCCTGTTAACATATTTATCTGTTGGTACATGGAATGTGAGTCTTTCCTGTGATTTTCCCCAATCTCTGTACACATTTGATTAACATACATATACAATTTAAAATATATATAATGATAAGCGGAATACTGGAATTTGAGTTTTTAATATACATACTAATAAACTGGTATACTGGAATAGAGGATTTGATACATAAAATGAATAACGTATACTAAAATTTCAATTTTTAATGTACAAATCTCAACAAACTGGTTCACAGGGACATAGGTTTTAATACATATAATGACAATGATAAACTGGTTTATAAGAAGTGAAGTTTTTAATGCACATACCAACGTTCGCACCCAATGCTTCTTCAAAACCTGACCCTGAAAGGCAGAACAGGACTAGAGAAAAAAGAAAGAAGAAGAAGAATGCACATACCAATAAAATGGTATACGGGATATGGGTTTCATATGTAAATAAAGCTGAATACTGAAATTTTAGTTTTTAATGAACATACCAATACACTGGAATATGGGTTTGGTACATACATACAATGATAAACTGGTATAGTGGAATTTGAGTTTTTAATGCACACATCAATGAATATAAACAGGTAACATCCACAAATCAACATAAATATCAACAAACATTCATTAAAACAGGTGGGCAAATTCAAATATCTTGGAAGCATCTTCACATCAGACAGCAGACTAGACAGAGAGACTGAGCCTGGAATCCAATAAAACATTACCTATCAACTTTCCCCAATACTGAACGATCCAGCAATACTAATGAAAACTAAAAGACAAATCATAAACACAGTCTCTTTACGAACATTATGTTACCAAACCAGGGCACTAACTAAAGGACCAGAGCGGAAATTAACGATGTGTGAAATGAGATGTTTAAGAATAGCAGTCAATATAATTAAAAAAAGAGACCATAAAAGAAAGATGGGAGCAACACCTGTAATTAGATTTACTGAAAAACAAAGCCTCAAATGATTTGGCCACCTGATCAGAACGAACCTAGCATCACTGTTTGCAAGAGCAAACAACATCAGAATAGAAACATCAAGAGGCAGAGGAATGCCAAGAAGACAAGGACAGATGGAGTTAACTTGCTGAAACTGAACAATATCACCATACAGCAAGCTAACAAGCTCATACTATCCCAGACACTGATCATTAGCCATTCCTGCAGGTCTTATAGCATTAAGCAGAGACAAACAATAGACAGATTGATAGAATAAACCGGTATACTGGAATATGGGTTTGGATACACATAATGATAAACTGGTAAACTAGATTTTGAGTTTTTAAATGCACATACCAATAAACTGGTATACTGGGATATGGGTTTAAATACATGTAATGATAAAATGGTATATTGGAATTTTAGTGTTTAATACACATACTAATAAACTGGTACTGGAATATGGGTTTTAACAAACAGACTGATAAACTGGCATTCTGGGATATGCTTTGTAACATATGCACTGGTATTCTGCAGCACAGGGCTGTAACTCTTACATGAAGAAACCAAAGCTCAATTCCAAAGTATTCAAATAAAGATGAAGTAACAAAGACACAGGTAGGCACACTTTGGATTACACACAATAGCCAACAACAACAACAACAAAAAAAGGTACAACTCACCACCGAGTATGACATTTCCACTTCATGCTGATTGGCTGCCTGGCGATGGCGTTTGTATCTGTTGTTGCTCACAGGTTCAGACCTGACCCTCTTGAGAATGCAGGTCACCTGTGGGGAGATCTCTTGCATCAAAAACTGGTCAACAAGTCTTCTTCTTCAGTGTTTGCCCTTTAATGAGCAGCTGGCACGTTGTGGTTTACAGCTGTGCTGCCATATCTGCGCTTTTTAGACCAACACATCTCATTTCAAAAAATCCCTAATGCGTCACTTGTTACAACATGCTTGTTGGGAGGCAATCTTTTCTCCATGCTAGGCCGGTGTGGTGGGTAATGAACAGGCAGACAGACTGGCTGGATCTGCACCATTGGGTGGTAAATTGATATGTGACAAGGCAGATGTGGTCAAGGCCTTTTGGGAACAAGCAACGGAATCAGTCGAGATAGAAGATAATTTATGGCCTGGAGAGAATGAGGCACCTGGGTGTAACTAGAGGGTCTGGCCGGCTCAATACACTCAGAGGAAAGGCAAGACGGACATACAACCAGATTGTGACCAGTACCGTCAGTACTGGAACTCTGCACTGGCTGCTGAAGATGAGGATGGAGCATGCATGGGGCTGCCCCGAGTGCTGTGATGTCAATTCTTGACTCAACAACTGATAGGAGGCAGTGGGTCATTAAGGGGCTGAATCCACACAAATGTAAATAAAGTCTTATATGTAACATTAGTTCAACTGTCTACAAAAAAAAAAGAAAAAGGTTACTAACAGACTAAAAGGATTTGTAAAATGCGTGCCTGCAGAGACTAAATGGAATTAAATGGTATGATAACATTGCATTGATAAGACAGATGTAATGGTGATAAGCAGGGATATAAGCACTGATAAGACAGATGTAATGGTGATAAGCATCGATATAAGCACTGATAAGACAGAGGTAATGATAACAGGTAGACAAGAAAAAACCATATCAATTAAAGTTAACAACAGAGAAATAAAACAAATGAGCACATTTAAATATCTAGGGTCATTTTTCACCTCAGATGGAAGAATGGATAGCGAAATCAACATACGATGTGCGAAAGCAAATCAGGTTATAGGACAATTAACCCTGCTTCTGACACACAGAAAGATGCTGCTGTCAACCAAAGCAAATCTCGTTAAAACGGTTTTTTGGCTGACATTGTGCTTCCAGTGCCAAAAATGGACCCTTACTACAACTAATGAGCGGAAGATGGTAACAACAGAGATGTGAGGTCTTAGGATAGCTGCCGTTGTGACAAGTAGAGATAAAATCAGGAATGAAGGAATTAGAAGAAGACTAGGACTGAAATAAGTCATACAAATCGAGAGCCATCAGGGCATGAAAACAATCAGCCTGAGAGGGAAGTTGAAAATTTTGGCCTAGAACAACTAGATAAGTGAGTGCCTTAGCCACCTTAAAGGTCCCACTTCTTCGATTAAAAAAACCAAACTTAATAAAAGCTTATAAAAAACCTACACAAGAAAAGACCAACCTTAAAGTCAGACATTCTGTATCCACCCCTAAGGATACCAGCAACCTTGGAGTTACGGTATCTGAGTTTAGGCAATGACTGTATGGGATCCTCTGGGCTCACCAACATAAGCACCTGACCTGGAAGTTATAATTCAAAACACACCTAGATTAGTTAACAGAGAATAAAGAATGTTCTGTAAGGTGCTTCCATTATACCTTGGTAGAGGTATTTGAGTGAGTCACCGTGGTGTAGCGGCTAGAGGCTCGCCTGCAGAACAGAAGGTTGTGGGTTCTGGTTGTGGCAGAACCGTGCTTTCTTAAAAAAAATGACCTTGGTTCTCTTATTATTCCAGGACTCACAGCTTCCCATTCTATTAGTGCCCTCTCTGCTTCTTTCAATAGTTATGTACATCCTGAGAACAAAATAGTTTCCCCCGGATTCAGAAAACTGTTTTGCGCCCTGGTCTGTCTACTTTCACATACTCCTAAAATACTAATCCTGTTTCATTTCTTTTAATACCTTTACTGTCCCTCCTACATTGTACAAAGTTCTAATATTCCAGGTGAACATACTGGAGATTTCAGGGCTCCTTTCAGGTTTCTCCGCACTGTGTCATCATTTTTCTATTAAAAAAGCCTCCCTCAATCTTCGTTGGCTGGTTTTTGACGTTACTATTTTTCCAGGTTGAGGTAGCCAACCTCAACCCCAACCAACCTCTTACAACATGCCTGGTAGGGTGCAGTGTTACTATTCTTTGCTTTCATGAGGGCCCTGGTAACACACGGGCAAAACTCTACTTACTGTCCCATAAAACTAATTGTCAAGCTATGTTGTCAGTCATCATCATTCTGTTTTGCAATTACATGTTATACAGGGCTCATTACTCCACAGCTCAATTGTGGACCTATCTGTCATTGCAAATCAAAGTAACACTAGTTCCTGTGCATACAATCAGAAACTGTTTGAATATTATCTAAACACAGATTATATGCCCCAGTATGGCTCACTACACTCAGAGGAAAGGCAAGACAGATATAAAACCAGATTGTGACCGGTACCATCAGTATTGGAACTCTGCGCTGGCTGCTGAAGATTACAGAGCATGCATGGAAATGCCCCGAGTGCTGTCATGTCAATTCTTGGCTCAACTCAACTCAACTCAGATGATATGCCCCAATAGAAGATAAAAAATATTTTAGAAATAGCCCACATTTTCCCTAGAATTATTATAACTACTATGGTTTACTGTAGTTAGAAATGTGCACATTCCAGTGCTTGTATTGTTGAATATCTTGATGCTATTGATAATGTTTAATATTACTTGAGGTAAGGATGGAAGGAGACCTCAAAGGGCAGAATGTTAGACTGGCCTGCGTGCTCAATTCTCAACCCTTTAAAAATTAAGTTTGCACATTCATTTGTCCTCCATTCTGTACTAACCTGAGCAATTCTTTTGATATGGATGGATTCCAGTCTGGCATCTTTGGCCTCTCTCACTAGCATTCATTTCAGTGTTTCTTTAGGATGTTGCTTCCTCAAAACATTTGTTTCTTATTTCAGTGCCTGCTTAGTAATTCTCTGCTCCTTCCTTCTAATGATATGCCCTCTTCTCTTCTTCTTAGCATTCCCCAGCAGTAAACTCTTGTGGAAAATTCTGGCTGTTCAACCACTTTTGGATACTGGTCTAGTTCCAGAAATTGAGGTTTGCATGCACATCTGTTTCACAGATCTGGCTTCTTTATAAGCAGACTGTTGGTTCCTTGATTGTTAGGCAGATGCACTTTGACTCTGAAAGAATGATGTGTGAAATATACCACCCACCACATTCTCTCACCTACGCGGTGCCCATGGCTTAAGCGTTGCGAGTCTGATTCGTAATTCAAACGCACGGCGATCAAAACCCACTGCTGGCTGCATGAATTTTTATCGTAGTATGGGGCGTCGCAGGTCAACCCAGCCTAAAATGGGTACCAGGATGTATGTCCAGGGGAAGTAAAGACAGCCGGCGTAATGCTGACCACATTACCCACCTAGTGCTGATTGGTCTGTACAAATATTGACGCTTTTCCCATATACCCGATGCACCTAAAAGGCGTAAAAAGGGATCTTTCCTTTACTTCTCTGACCTGTAACTTTTGATACAAGCTGGTGTCCAGATATTTCTGAATTCATCCCGTCTAATGTACATCAGTTTCCTCAAGCATCTGCTTTTTAAATGCAATAAACTTTCGTTCGATCAATATTTTCACAGTAGACAAAACTTTCAACAGATGACATGTGACAGAGATCACATGACATTACCAACCATCAGGAAAGAAGCGGACATATCTGAAGTACTCCACCAGGTGGAAGGGACGATAGAAGCTGTCCATGCCCTGCTCGCCCTGCCGAATGTAGGTCACTTTGCTGATGTAGCATCCTGGGCAAAGAAACAACAGTCAACAGGAAAAGATATCAATATTTCAAATACACTGTTATCTACTCACCTAACTATCTCACCTGCCCGACGGTCTTGATGTCGCATCTGCATCAAGTCAGACTTTTCCTCTCCAAAAATTGACAAAAGTCTCCTACCAGGTTGACCCAGCTAAAAATGTTACAATCGGAATGTTATTGGTACCACTGGAGTTGGAACTCTTCACTGGCTGCTGAAGATGGTGAAGGACTCCCAAAAGGGATGTCACGAGTGCTATGGTGTAGGTTCTTAAAAACTCAACACAACCCATGTAAATGCGGCTAAACAAACATTGCTGCAGTAGCATGTTCCCGACAAGCCTGGTTGATGGCACCATTTGTGTTTCACTTGAGCATTGTTAGGATGACCAGGTGTGATTATATTAAACTAAACAGCATTTGAGGGGTGGGGTGCAGGTTATTGCAGAAAAAAAGACACACAATAATAATAATTTAAAAAAAGAAGACACATCTGCCTTTATATTTTTAGCACTCACATAGTGCAGCCATGAGGTCGTGGTATGAGTCTCTGTATAAATTATTACACCCAAGGGTATGTTCTTTAATTCTAGCTCCATTAATGGTTTGCATATAAAGGTTGTTTTATTTAAAGGATTTCTACATGGGTTTTGGTCTTTTTTCCCCAGAGTATCTTCAGTGAAAAGGTTAAATAACAAGCAATGTACAGTTATAGAATGACAATATTAACTAAACTGTAATGAAACAGTGAACAACGTGGCATTTCCACAACGAAGGCTGGCTGAAGAAGATGTGTATGTCACTACTATTACTAAAAATATTAAATGGTAAATATGACATGGTCAACGGATAAAGAACAGACAAAATGAGACACCTGGCCCTTCAGGTCACTGGCTGAAGTGCGGAGCCTATGCCCTCACTGTGTAAAACCTTAAGAAGAAAAAAAAAAGATGATTGAAGGCAGGTGATATTTGCATCAATGAACCTCAAGGGCTCAGAATGTACAAGAAAAAGGAGATATCTCAGTCATTTCCACAATGTCACTCTCACACCACTGTCGAGAGGCCATGTCTTTTTGTCTAAAATGTTTGTTGTGAAAATTGAGTTCTAGTACATCTTCTTCTTCTTCTTCTTTATTTGTTGTTGTCTTTTTTCACTTCCTCCTTTGTCACTTCAGGCGTTGATGGTAATATAAGGTTCTGATCTTCTAGCTGTCTCATCATGCTTCTAGTTCATCAATGACTGTAAAGTTTCTAAGTTATAGAGCCTCACATAATATAGTTGACAATGAGAAGGAAATTGTTGGTTCTTACCATCAAACAGCAGATGAGGCCTCTCAATCATCATTCTTCTCCATGATCCATTGTATCTCTTTGAATTACCCAGATTGACTCCCCAGATTCTGACAGAACAGTAAAGAAAAACTTGAACATAATAAACTAAGTGACAGTTCAGCAAGCCTCCACGTGCTTCAGACTTGGAGAACAGTAGTTCTAATTTTAATCTGGTATCTACTCAGAAGAGCACGAAGCAGGACCTTATATCTCCCCTTATTTCTTTTACTTATTCGCGTTCACCCGCTGTCAACTCCAGCGGAGAGTTTCGGTTGTTCGCCCGCCTCTGGACTTGAGTCTTGTTCCAGAACTCGAGTGTTGCGCTCACATCCACTTTACAGATCTGACATAATTGTATGCAAGATTCTGGGTTCCTTGCTTCTCAAGCAAAGGCAGTGAGTCTATTCTTATTTTCTCCATATTCGGGCCCTGCGGCCCACATGGGGAAACTGCTTATTTAATTGGTGTAATTTCACTTCCCATGACCTCTCAACTTCTTGTATCTCTTTGTGTCAATTCTTGTTCACTGACCTGCTTGAAAGTATGTGGTCTTCAGACATCTGTGCACCTTACTCGGACATCGGAAACCGGGTTATCCATTGACCAGCTGGTGGACGGTTTTGTCGTCAGTTGGGACAGTTTTTGAGTCTCTCTCTTTTTGATCATATCAACACTGCAAGAGTCCTTTTTAGGGCTACTTGGTGGTAAGCAATGTTAAGCCATTTTATTTGGCACACATAAACCTAGTCATAATTATAACCAAAAGCTCCCCCCCCCCCCCCTTTGGAAGATGCTGATTGAACATGATGATTTTTAATTTTGTTTTTGCAAAAAAAGTCAAGACTTTACTTGGCCTTTCCCAGCACACTAGGACTTCAACTCTTCAACATCTAAGCCATCTTCCATTGGCTGTTTGTTGAAACATGCCTACAAAAACAAAGCCTTTCTCACTGTAACATTCATGTTGTTACTTGTGTTCCCAGGAAGCTGATCACCTGCATATTCAGTTCTGTTCCTTTTTTTCATTGCAATTTTAAAATTATACATTTGCTAATTACAAAATTATCAAGTACACCAAAGATGTTGAATGCTGAATTAAGAATCAACATCATAACACTCGTGATACCCCCCCCCCCCCCCCCCCCCCCCCCCCCCCCCCCCCCCCCCCCCCCCCCATAAGCGCTCCATCATCATTTTCAGCAGCAAGCGATGAGTTCCAATTCCAATGGTACTGGTATATCTGTCAAAGATCCGGAAAACAAATGAATGCAGTTAGTGTTTCAAGAGCTTGACTGTTTGTGTCAGCACAAGGGAACCAGAGTTGACCAACTTAATTTCACTCTCTACAGCGGATGTGTGACATCATTAGATACCAATGCTTCTAAGAAATTCATTTGGCAGCAGACTGATTTGCACTGATTAAAAAAAAAAATTTTTTTTTTTTAAAACACAGGAATGAGTGGCAAATCATTTACAAAACAATGGCAAACTAGGTTAGGTTAGTTGGGTATCCTTTACAGGACGTTGCAGAACCAACCCCAACAGCCCCTGGTAGTTGTGGGGTTTTTCTAGGTAATTTATGTCCAGTAGTTTGCCATTGCTTTCCGGACGGTCGGTTTTCTTTATACCAATGTCAAAACAAACACAAGGGACCGAACAAAAGCATCCCGACATTACGAAGCGTTTGCATCGACTTAGCCACGGAGCCGACAATGGCAAACTACTTTGCGTAAATTCTTTTTTAAAAAAATAGTTGCCTCAGACTTTCTGGGTTACTTCGCGTAAGTGATCACCTATTAGTAATCATCTACAGGAATTTACTGTCACAGCTAAAACAGTAAATACAGCAATTTAAAAAAAAAACCAACTTACTTCTCGCATGCCTTTTTCCAAACTCTTTCATCCCGGGCACAAACATAGAATCCTCGACATACCTGAACAATGTTGGAAGCAAAACAAAAATAGAATTCAAGTGGCGAAACAAATGAAATTATTGATGAGGTCCTAACAAGTTCCCCTAATCAGATTTCAACTTTATTGTGAACAGTGTGGGCAGTATTACTGGATGAGTTGCTTAAGCACACTACAGATGCAACTAGCACAGTCCTTATGCAAGACTCTGGGATCAGGTGAGATGATGAAGCATGACCTGTCTTCTTCTATCAGTATGGCACTGGATGCTGACGAATTCCTAAGGTCAATTTACTGAAAATGTGTTCAGAATCTACGGTGTCTATTTCTGACCTTGAATTAGCGCATTTCTATTTCCTCTCTGGTCTCTTTGGTGGGGGAAAAGGGTGGGTGGGGGAGGGGTGAGAGAAAGAGAGGCTGAATGAGCCACACAAAAAAACACAAGCCGAAGGATCTTTTTTAAAGGGTCACAAATTGGGCACACAGGCCCATCTTACATTCAGCCCTTTCAACCTTGCCTCTCTCAAAAATCAGCTGTATTCCATCTAGAAACAAGTTAATACAGCAGTGTACAAATATTAAAAGGAAGTAAAACTACAAAAGCATGTATGGCAAATGTGCGCACTTAAATATATATAAGATCCCCCTGTGGGTTCCAGGACCCCATTGTAGGGAAAGCAAGAATAGACCCACTGCCTGCTCAAAATCATGTCATAAGAGTTGACTGATTGAGAGCTTCCTCATAAGTCAGAGTACATCTACCTCAGAGACAAGGAACCAATAGTCTGCATGTAAATGAGTCAGACCTGTGAAACGGATGTGCACCAACACTCAGTTTCTGGAACAGTACTACAGTCCAGAAGTGTACGAACAACCAGAAGTTTCGTCAGAGTTTACAGCCGGTGAACGTGAAGAAGAAGAAGAATACACATAAGACCATATATGAACATACATATACATATGTATATACCATATACACCCAAAAAAACACACACAAACACATACAACCACTCACACACATACATACACACATACATACATTCATGTTACACACACATACGCTCATATTCACCTATACTTTTTTACACTACATATGCTGAGAAAGGTAAAGACAGGGATGCTTCAAGCAGAGTGGCAAGCTTCACTGGGAAGGTCACAGTGGATCTTTTCTCCAGGCCATGCCAGCGTGGTGGGTAATGAACAGGAAGACAGATTGGCTGTATCTGCACCACTGGGTGGTGAACTGATACATGACAAGGCAGATGTGGTCAAGGTCCTTTGGGTACAAGTAATGGAATCAGCAGAGACAAAATTATTATGACCTGGAGAGAATGAGGCACCTGGGTGTAACCAGAGGGTCTGACCGGCTCACTACACTCAGAGGAAAGGCAAGATGGACATATAACCAGATCGTGACCAGTACCATCAGTATTTGAACTCTGCGCTGGCTGCTGAATATGAGGACGGAGCACACATGGGAATGCCCCAAGTGCTGTGATGTCAATTCTTGACTCAACTCAACTCAACCCCTGCATATATACACATTCACACACTGTCATTCACTTAGGCTGATACATACATACATACACAAATATACACATACTCGTACACAAACACGCTTAGAGAGAAACAGGCAAAGGGAGGGAGGTGAGGTGGGAGATGGGGGTGGGGAATAGGAAAGGATTTTTTTAATCATATACACTAGAACAAATATTTTTATTTTCTCCAACACAATATGGAAACAAAATAAAATAAAAAATCCAAAACACTACCATCACACTCAGACAGAAAGAAGCAAAAATGCACATACCAAGGAAAACATCTCCAGTGATCTCAGGTCCAAGTCATTAGAGACCACCCAGTGAAGGATGTAGACAATCAACTCCACAGGCAGGCAAGATATGTGAGTCATCTAGAAAACAGAGGACACAAGAATGAAAACAATGCTGCTCTGTCCATGGTGTAGAGACTACATGGGACAGCGAGCACACCAGGAAGCTTTTGATCCTCAGAAGAGGTCCCCATCCGACAAATGTTTATTGGCAGCCTGGTTAACTGGATGAGCCGTTTCTTTTGGTTTCTAATCAAATTTAGCGCTGCTACAACCCCCCGGCCCCCCCCCACCCCTTTTTAAAATTTAATCTTTCTGATCTTCTGCTTTTCAACATGTTGACTGCTCTTCTTGGGAACCTCATTTCAGGTGTAATTTTTATTTTATTTTTCTCTTATTTTGGCTGACTTATGTCTAAACCTAAACTGAGGACAACAAAATAACAACCATTTGCTCATATTCTGGCTGACTTGTGTCCAAACCAAAACTAAGTGAGGACAACAAAATAACAACCATTTGCTCATATTCTGGCTGACTTATGTCCAAACTAAAACTAAGCGAGGACAACAAAATAACAACCATTTGCTCATATTCTGGCTGACTTGTGTCCAAACCAAAACTAAGTGAAGACAACAAAATAACAACGATTTGCTCATATTCTGGCTGACTTGTGTTCAAACTAAAACTAAGTAAGGACAACAAAAGAACAACCTTTTGCTCATATTCTGGCTGACACAGCGCTTCATCCTTTAATTTCATGTGCTGCAGATGTACCAAGAGATCTTCTTCCAAGTCACTGTTTAAAGAACATGAACAAGGCAAAACAAAATTAAACACATGGAAACAACACATTCACTGAATAAATTTATTGGAATAATTAAGAAATTAACACATGATCAGCACTGCAACTTTTGAATTTATTTGCTAAAAGTGAAGGACCCTGTTCACAACAGCACACTGGGAATATGGTAATAGACACACAATTGGACAGACCACTTAGCACTCAAAAGATGATGTGACCAACATCATACTCGTCGTTTTCACTTCCTAAAACTGTTGCCGGTACCCATTTACTTTAGTCTGGCCCAACCAAAGAGTTCAGGTGTTTTCTTTTAATTAATCCAGTTAATGCAGACTTGAACCTAAGACCTTTGGGCTGGCAGGTAAGCATCAATATTTTATTTGGTCTGGTGATACATAAAGCAAAAAGAAAAATGTACACAAGAGAGAATGTGTACCCAGAAGCTGACCAAGATTGCAATGGAGAGAATTTCCAGGCAGACCCACAAACACATGGGGTCATCTACTGGAAAGAGAAGGCCAATCACAGAGATGAGGGAGATGGGTGGTATCTGCAGCAATGAACCTCAAGAGCTTGGAATGCTGAAGAAGATGATGCATATTTTGTTAAAGAAGCTTCGGCACAAAGACAACATATCACAAATATGAAAAATTTTCATTTGCCATTTTTGCCAGATTTTGGAAAGAGGGAAACTAGAATATGACTAAGCTATGATTGCATATTGGTTTGACACTTGTTGCTGGCCCAAAAGTCTAGGGAAACAAATCCAGAAAAACTTCAAGAGCTCGATATGGGAAAGAACAAGAACATACACATATTTGTGAAAGAACCTTAGGCACAAAGACAACTTATCACAAACATGAAAAGCTGGCAGATGACTTTTTTAGGGGGAGGGGGCAGATTTTGAGAAAAACTAGAAAGTGATTAGGCCACGGTAGCATAGTGGCTTGCTGCCAGTCCTGAAGGTCTAGAGATACAATCCGCATCAAGGTGGCTATTTTCTTGAAGAATTATCTCTTCTCCAGTGATGACCTAGCCTAAAATGGGTACCAGTAAAGTCCTGAGACGTAAAGATGGCCAGTGTGATGTTGACCACATCCCCCCATCGAGGATCAATTAGTCTATAAAAGTATGGTCTAGTGCTATATCAGATGAACCTAAGGTGCAAAAAGGGTCCTTTACTTTTTTTTTTTACTTAGAACGTGTAACAAAGGAAGGCACTTATGGAAAAGATACAGGGAAAAAAAGCCATTTTTAACCCAGTCACCCTGAGAAGACTAAAATACAGTTTTTTCTTTAAAACCAAATTAATGTCCAATATTTTTTTTTTAAAACCAAATTAATGTCCAATCTTCCTGTAAGCCTTAGTGATAGAGGTCACAACAGGAGTCGCCTGATATATATGCACATACACACACACACACACACACACACACACACATATATATATATATATATATATATATATATATATATATATATATATATATATATATATATATATATATATATATATATATATATATTTTTTTTTTTTTTAGGGCTGGGGAATATATACCATTTTATGGGTCACTCAGTGTTTACTGATTAATCCTTTATATAACTTGACACAAGTTTTTGTAGATTAGAACATTTATAAGCAATTTATTAGTTACCTGTGTCTTTTTTTTTTACACAAATGTTTCCAGGTATTCCAGTGTTCTTTTTTTTAAAGTATTTGCGGGCAAAAAGGTTAGACAACACATTATCGTCAACATGTAGCAGATGATCTCTCTCGCCAGGACCGGTCAGAAAGATTCAGCGCCCTCTAACAATTTCCTCCCTGCTTCACGTATGTCCATGCCCAAGGTGTCTCTAACATCCTATAGCTTTCTTTAAGCTGGCTGACCCCTGCCTCTTCTTCTCTCTGTCTACTGTTTTGAGCAAAAGATTTAAAGCAGTTCTCTATTTATTATGTTAGGAAACAGCAGGCAGAGGATCAAGTGTACTGACAATGGCTATGGTCACCAAACAGCCAATAGAAAAAAAAAGGACAGCAAACTACTTTCTTTGAGATGCCAAAAACAGTCATGATTACACATCAGTGACCTGATCCTTGATACTGATGATCATGTGAGATGGTGAAAGATGACAGCCTGTGCTGATCAGCACAGCATATGACGATGATTGATGCATCTGTGACTGTAATCATAAAGACGACTAAAAAAAAAAAACACACAAATAATAATGTGTACCTTTTTTCCATAGGACTCTCAGTGTCTTGTATTGCTGCAGAACAAGAAAGAAAAAAAAATTATTGGAGGTGTCAATTTACTATCAACTGCTACATTGTGTTGTGGTGTAAAGTGATATCTGCACTTGTTGGCCCAACATCTCCAGTTTACGCAAATCCGTAACTCCTCTACTCCTCTTCCCTCTACTGGGCCCTGCAGTATTGTTTTTGAGAGCCATTTTATCTTATTACATATCTGTACCATAGCATCTTCCGACTTTTGTTTTTTACAGTAGTTAAAAGAGGTTCATAGTTGCCAATGTAAAGGATAATTATACAGCCATTTGTAAATGTACTAACACCTAATGCTCTTAGCCTCCAAAGCTTAGTTTTAAATGAAATGCTTTTACATCTCCATAATTTTTGCTGTTTGGCAAGGACTTAACTGGTGCCTGTGCAGTATAGAGGGAATTAAATGGCATGATAGAATCACTAATGTAGAGCTTTTGGAGAGAACTAAGCAAGCTCCAGTGGACTAAGAGGTGAAGAAAAGACACTGGCGTTGGATAGGACACACACTGAGAAAAGTAGAGAATAATATAACTAGAATGTCTTTGCATTGGAACCCACAGGGGCAAATGAACAAAAAAAGGATAAAAAACACAATGGAGAAGGGAGCTGGAGAATGAAGTCAAAAAGATGGGGAGGACATGGGGGGAGGACATGGGGAGAGCGGCATGCGATAGCAAAGGATAGAACGACTTGGCGTGAGTTGGTTAAGGGCCAATGCTCCATTGGGGGATAGAAAGGCAGAAGAAGAAGAAGAAGAAGAAGAAGAAGAAGAAGAAGAAGAAGAAGAAGAAGAAGAAGAAGAAGAAGAAGAAGAAGAAGAAGGACTTATGCTGTCTGGGCAACCCTAAACATGATTTCTGATCTGAATCCTAGGTCACTTAAAATGGAACCTAAATATTTGAAATGCTTGATGGGTTCGAACAACGGATCAACATCATGGCCCAAGGGTAGTAACCATAAGTGCTCAGTTCTACTTCTAACTCAAACCTGAGTCTGAAGAATCACAGAGCAGTACATGAACTCCATAGCACCGGCAAGGATTCTGGGTAGCTTTTTAACTCCAAATATTGTCCAGGCAGCGCCCTTAGGCTACTCTTTTCAATTCCCAATCGCCAAGGGATATTTTACATGTGCAACAATACACATAGGCGTCCCCTCCTTCTACCCACAGACCAGGGGAAATTACTAGAAGTCACGTGAAAAAATCACCGGGGCCTGAATCCAGGACCTCCAGCACTCGAGGCGGACGTGAAATAAATGACTTGTTCTAAATTGTGAACTCTGATGTATAAAGCCCTGTAGACAGGCTGTTAGATCTGATTACATGCCGGTACCAATGCCTTTTTCACCTTTTCACTGTAATTTAAAGATGTTCATAGTTGTTAATCTAGTTTGCAAACTAAATAGATCAGACTACATTTGCCTAGAGGTAAGGAACCATCAGCCTGCACATAATTAAGTCATCTTTGTAAAACAGATGTGCATGCAACATTCAAGTCACAGAACAAGACCAAGTGAACGTGAAGTGGAAGATTCTCAAATATTTTACCATCAATGTTTCAGTTTTCAAACATTTGTATAATTTCCCAAATCAAATACTGATTGTTAAGAAAGTAATGGAAAATTTCTGAAGTTAAAAGTGCCTAGTAAAACCACAAACATCCAATGCTGGGTTGGTTCTGCAAACTCCTTTAAAGAATAATCAAATAAAGGCAAATTATTTGTGTCTGCACTTTTTTAACTGACTTTAACAGGAAAATATTTAGAATGTGTACTGTGAAGAAGACAATCATACCTCTGTCTTTGGGACCTCTGTTTAAAACATTGCCCAGCCTTGATTCTATGTCTGGTACCAGCTGAAGGGCTTTCCTGTAGTAGAATATGGCTGTGGAGAGAAAGCAGATATTCAGAAATTAATTCAGTAGAATATGGCTGTGGAGAGAAAGTAGACATTCAGAAAGTAATTCAGTAGAATATGGCTGTGGAGAGAAAGTAGACATTCAGAAAGTAATTCAGTAGAATATGGCTGTGGAGAGAAACCAGACATTCAGAATATGGCTAATTTAATCTTTCTATCCCAAGCAACACATAAACTGTCTTTGTCTGCGCTCACCGGCTGTAAACTCTGGTGGAAAGTCCTGGCTGTTCATCCATTTCTGGACTTTGGCTTTGTTCCAGGACCTGAGTTTTCCATGTGCATCCAGTTTACAGATCTGGCTTATTTGTATGCAGGCTTATATGTATGCAACTACTGGTTCCTACGACATGCTTGTCATAAGTACACCGGGTCTATTCCTTATCCCTTAAAGTGGGCCCCAGAACCCATGTGGCAAACATCATCTGTGATAAGCTACTGTTAGGAAATATGTATCAGTAGGCCAGGAGCCTTGAAGAAGGTTATCATCTGGTCCAAATCTCCCTGTTTACCATACAGCTTTGTCTTGATTGAAGTGGGAATGTAGGAAAATGAGTTATTGCCAAGAGTTAAATGAAGAATGTATACATTCAGACCAGCATTAGTGCATGCCATTACATCACTTGGTTTCATGACAGAAAACAGTAATTAAAACGCTGGTCAGACAGGGCCACAGAGAGATATGACAGGAACCTTTGGGAACAGGTGCCACAGACAAGGGGTGAGTAAAGTGTGATTCTTGATAAACCCATGACATCGGACATTGATGGATGTATTCAGTGAAGGAAGAAGATGGGAAATAGCGCTAGATATGCCAGGATCCCCCATGAGATTAATGACTGTAATACAGGTGGATGGATAGACGAGCACCAAATGTGAGAGATAGCCAAGGCTTCTAGAAGGAAGGAAATAACGTGATACGGGGGGAGGGAAGCTGAAGGGACGGAGAGTACAAGGTCAGGACGAGGGGTGCGAGACATGAGAGATCACAGAGGCTAAGAAGAGGACAGGGATTGGAAAAAAAGAGGAGAGAGATGGAAAGTTAGAGCCCCGGTATCTTATCTGGGTGGCCGCAAAACGAGGAGTAGTCTTGCAAACTTAAGAATTATTGGAAAGAGAGTTTTACCTAGTTTTAGAAGTTTGACTCTGTGTTAGAAATACTAGTGAAGCACACTACAGTAAACTGAAATGTTCATCATCATTGTATAATAAAACCCAGTGCTGTACTTGAATTTACATTACTTTGTTCTAATAAACTTCATATGAATTGACTGGATTTGTTACATCACTCGCCATGTTGTTAAATACATTCAAGAGACACTAGAACACTATCTGATAACTTGTCCTTTAGGCATGCTTATGTCTGGGGAGCATGGAGTTACAACTGTACCACAGGAACAGACCAGAAGGCTTCTCTGTTAGCAACATACAGTTTACAGTGTTGGAGTTGATGCTCAACAATTTTAGATGCCAAGTTGCAGGGATACACCTCGGGACAGGCTCACTGCTTCCTAACAAGTTGTAAGAGGTGACCAATTAGGGACTTGCTAAAATAGTAAGTGTTTGCTGAAGTCAAATGTGTTGCAGATAATGCAGCCTAGCTGTAAGCCAGAACACAGTGAACCACTCTTTCAGAGGTGAATGCAAAAGGAAAATAAGAATTTCTAACAATCGTCCAGGACAAATGAAGCTGGTTGGATGACTAAAGATATTTTCTAAATTAATTTTCTAGTTAGTTAGTCGAGGTTTCAACATCACCGCAGTCGGGTTTCCCCATACTTGCTCCGTTCCTGTGCCAGTGCTAATCAAATGAAATGTCCCCCCCTGTCGCATATGAAAAACTGGTGAATAAACAACTAGTTAAGGAACAATCCAGAAATATGTCCAAAACCTCACAAATTAATTTTCTTCAGAAAAACAAAGAAGCTAGATATCGTGCAATATGGAAGAAGAAGAAGAAAACAGTATACCAGCATACCTTCATTCAACATCCCATCATCCTCAGCCTGCATTCCTTGCAAAAAGAAAGCTCGGGCCTGAAAAAACAGTAGGTCATATCTGATGTTTCATCAGGTACATACATCAGACATTCTAGAACTTATTGTGTTGTAAAACCATTGTTTCACACACATCTTGCAGATTCATGGTGTAAACATGTACTGCTATAAAAATGTCTTCTTAACGTTCACTTTAAAAACTTGTGTTGCTATTTTTTTTTTAAATGTTTTCTAAACAGACATTTAAAAACCTTCAAACATTTAAAAAACTTTAAAGTGTTATTCTCACATTTGGATATTCACTACTCTTGTGGCTGCAAAACCACGGTAAGTGAAGAATTTGTTTGTAAAACGTTGTTGTGAAATTAACACCTGTTGAATTCTTCTTTCATTAACTATAACAAAATTAAACATAGACACTTATCATCATATTCAAAATGAATAATCATTTTTCTTTAAAAAAATATACACTTTTGTAGGGGTTACATTCTCTATTGCCTTTTTTGTACACCCCCCACCCCCTTTCTGCCATTTTCAAAAAAGAGAAATTAATGTGGGCCAAGTCTGTCAAAATTCATGGGCCTGAAAAAGTTACAAACAAATAAACAAACAAAACACAAGTAACCCAAATGAGGAGTCGAGTCAGTCAGTTTCCCAATAAAACAGTCAGGAGTAACAAAAGAAAAAGCTGCATCTAGAAAGACTTCATCAGCATGCAAAAATATAAAACATAATCAATCTTCTTTTTCTATGTTCACCAGCTGCAAGCTCTGGCAGAAACTCCTGGTTGTTTGTCAATTTAGACTTTGGCTTTGTGCCAGGGTCTTAGTTTTGTGTATACATCCCGTTTACTGGCTAAACTGTGTGTAGCTGGATGGATGTTCCTTGCCACTCAGGCAGATGCACTGCATCTTCGAAGAAAGCCCCCAATTAACTGACTCCTAGGACATGCTTGTTGGGGAGGTGGTGGGTTTATTCTTGTTTTCCCCACAACGGGGCCCTGAAACCTACACAGGGAACCTAGTTAATGATACAATTAGAAACAAGAGTACACACAAAAACTTCAAAAACTTGTTGGATAAAGTCAACTGACTGTCAAGACATCCAAACAAGATTTGAAAAAGGCTGTTGGCATGCACCCCTCCTGAGTTGTCGGACAACGGACAGAAAGTGGTAAAGAGATAGAACTGTCGAGGGTTACTACGATGATAAATGTGAAATATCTCAAGGAAAAAATATTAAATCTCACAAGTTTAAGTCGCCTACCTCATTTTCAATATCGTTGGCTTGTTTAGCCTTCAAGCAAACATTATTGCCTTCATTGACACTGCTTTTTGGACTCTGCCCTCGACTCCCTGGTTTCTGCTGCAACTCATCTTGCCACTGCTGGCGGAATACCTCCAACTAAGGAATGAAAACAAATCGTATGACATTTTATAAATGTATTATTTACAAAATTGTTAACATAATTGAAAAAAAACAAAAAATATGTTTTTAGAGTCTCCACGGCGAAGTGGGCAATCTGTTTGCCTCCTGCTCTGAAAGTCATGGATTTGTTTTACGAGTCATTTAGTTCCCAGGTGGAGCTGTTACTGAGATCCCTAGGAATTGTTGCAGAAGCTGCAAAGTTCATGAGACGCCCTCGTCAGGTGGCTAGCATTTGGCAGAGAAAGACCAAGATATAAGGGATACTAAAGCTGGTACAATGAAGCCGATCCTCAAACTTTAAATTTTACATTGAAATTTAAGCATTTATCAATTTGCTGAAGAATAAACAATAATTTTGGGTCTAGTAAAGATCTAGTAAACTAAAATGACATTGCTTGACTATCTCAAACCTCTTCTTCTTCTTCTCTGCGTTCACCATCTGTAAACTCCGGCAGAAAGATCCGGTTGGTTGTCCATTTCTGGACGTTAGCTTTGTTCCAGGAACCAAGTTTTGCGTGTGCATCCATCTTACACATTTTGCTTTTTTGTATGCCGAGTGCTGGTTCCTTGCTTCTCAGGCAGATGCACTTTGACTTTAGAGGCAGTCCCATTTAGTCGACTCTTACAACATGCTTGTTGGGGAGGGAGTGGGTCTATTCTTGTTTCCCCCCACAATTGGACCACACAGGGACCAATAAAAGTGTCTGTAGGAAACAGAGCTGACAATATCCTACCTGACTGTTGACATCAGAGGTAGAACTGTTCTTTCTCCCGCCTTCAGAACTGACAGTCTGATCGCCAAACAGTGCCTCTACATTTTGCTCCGTTTCATCGCCCCTGTTGATAACTCTGTTTTCAAGACCATCTTCCTCAAGGTCAACTTGTTCACTGTCATACTCACAGTCACTCTCAGTTAAGTCTTCCTGGTTGACCTTTGCCTTCCTGATGATTGGGCTCTCATCCTACAACAGTTAAAAAAAAAATATGTAAAGCTTTTTTGCATAACATTAATTTATCTTGGAGCGTACCGTGGAACATACTATCCTATGTGTTAGTTTTGCCATTACGGTCTCCGTCAGACATCAACTATGACCTTCTGCGACTACAAAAAAAGTTAATAATGTTGACTAAATCTTCATCTGTCATCCCATATCTGAGCGGATAATGATAATCAACAAGTCAGTTCATAAAAGACTGACAAATAATAATTAAGTAATTATTAAACTAATTCTTATATAGTTGTCTGTTGTCTATTTTAGTTATGTTAAAACCATTTAGTGGAGTGGCTGTTGTTTAAGTATATAAACTTTGGCTATCTTCCTAATAATGGTCCCAAATTACCGAGGCCCAAAATATACCCTAACAGAGCCTCAGTCACTGTCAATTGCGAACTTCCGGTGACTTAAATTGCCCACTTCCGGCGACTTCCGCCATCGCCGAGAGTATCCCCCACGTCGCTCATGCAGCGTGGATTGGGGCTAAACTAGATGGCTGGGACTCACGAGCAGCAGCTACCGCATCTCCTGCAGCTTCCTTTGTTTTATTTGCTCGTGAGTCCCAGCCATCTAGCTCAGCCCCAATCCATGCCGCTCATGCGGCGTGGGGGATACTCTTGGCGGCGGTATAGTCCCCGGAAGTATGCAATTCGGGGATGGTGGTATAGTCACCGGAGGTGCAAAATTGACATGTGACTGAGGCTCTGTTAGGGTATATTTTCGGACTCGATAATTTGGGACTGTTGTTCTGAAGATAGCCTAACCTTTTATCACACAATGCTGACTTTAACATTTTTTTTTTTTAAAATACACTTTAACGAGTATAGATTATAATGATACTATTGTTGTTTTGTGTGTGTGTGTGTGTGTTCAATCCCACCAGGACCCTTCTCAAAGTTGAAGTACAAGTACAACACACAACGAACGACCAACACCCAACACAAAGTGAAAGTGCCACCACTCATAAGGAAGATCACACTCACTCGTCCCAGTAACTCCAGTTCAGCCGTGAGGTTATATTGACTACAGCCGGGGTGGGGCTTTAAAATAACGCAAAACTGCGTCCTTTATTAATACTGGGACGGAAAGCTTTAACCAAAAAGTGTGTTTGTATTGATAAGTTAAGTTAAGAGAAGTAGTAATTATAAGTTGTAAGTTGGCAAGGCAGGGTACAATTACAACACAACCATGTTTATGTTACTCGACAAAGGTGACATCTAAACATGTATTCACCATGGCGAGAAGTTATATCTTTTATACTCAAACGGTTAGTTCTCTGAAAGAAAAGCAAATCACAGAACAGAAATACATTCTTGCTCGTTTCTCCTCTGCCATTTTATTCTCACTTATACGTCTACCGTGTGAATGATTTCCCTTGAATAATGATTTGCAATATCAGAGGATTTCAGAGGAATGTCGCTTCTCAGTTCAGTCACACTGTGATGCTAGGGCCATCGAAAGAAGGTTAAGACCATCGATAGAGTATCAACTTTCAGAAACACAAGTGTGCTTTCGACGAAACAGAAGTTGCCCAGATGCCATTTATACATCGAGACAACTATCAGAGAGAGCAATAGGACACGATAAGAAATGTTTGTTGACATTCATAGACCAGGAAAAAGCCTTCGATAGATTGATTGATTATTTTTGATTGATTTGATTCAAGAACCGACATCACAGCACTTGGGGCATTTCCATAAGCGCTCCGTCCCCGTCTACAACAGCCAGCGAAGATTTCCAATACTAATGGCGCCAGTAGCATTCTGATTAAACGTCCGTCTTGTCTTTCCTCTGAGCCTCGAGCATTTGCCAGAGCCTCTCGTCACCCCCCCCCCCCCCCCCTGCATCAATCTCACCAGACTGTGCTGATCCATCTGCTCCTCCGAGCTTTACACGCTCTCTCACAAAGCACTAACCACGTCTGCCCTATCATGTATCAGTATTCCACCAAGTTGTGCAGAGCCAGCCAGTCTGCCCGTCTGTTCATTTCCCAACAGACTGGTGTGGCCCATTGAAAAAATCTAGACAATACTCCTCACACGTGTCCTCCGCAGCGATGCATGCCACTCTGCACGAAGCATGCCTGTACTGATCTTCCTCAGCATGCTTTCTGAGTCAGTTACAATCATGATGTGTGTGTCGTGTTCTCTAGCCAGCGGAAAGCTGCAGTGACCGCATCCACCTCCATTCTTAAGCTGGATGTTGTGGTATCATATGCTAGGCTCTCCTGCACCAAACGTCGACCATTATCTTTTGCTTAAAAAACCCAAAGCACTTCTTTTGCTTCTTGACACTGAACCGTCTGTGTAAAGGATTAAATCCTCTTAGCGAGCATTATTTTAAATTAATTGCTGAATTTCCACCTCAGTGGCACCTGCTGAACAGTCTCTGCAATCCCGGCTCAGTGTGATTATGACTCTACACAAGTCTGACTGTTCACGTGGCACTTCGACCCACTCCTGTCCTAACCTAATGTTCTCAAGGATGCAAACCTGTCTGATTGTGTCTTCTGTCTGAGCCATCCATGACTTCACTCTTATCAGCTGCTGACCCTTAACTGCACCCATAGTTTCATGCAAAGGGTGGTCTGTGTCTGCAACTACCCTGAGATATGACTTCGCCTACAGCCCCTTGTGCCTACCTGCAACCGTCGGCAAACCAAGGATGTATCGCATACACATCACTAGGGTCTCTCTGGTGCAACCCAGAATGACCCGTATAGCTGCGTTCTGTATGCGCTCTAGTTTGTCCATCTTACTCGACAGGAAATGTATGGGGAAAAACGGAAACAACAATCATCTCATTAATATTTGCAAAAGCCTGTACACACGTAGTAAATGCTGCATAAGATCGAAGGCAGGATTGTCAAGAACTTTTATAGTGAACTCTGGTGTGCGTCAGGGCTGTGTACTATCGTCACTTCTTTTTATTACATATATGGATCTGGGTAATCTTAGTTTCAGCTTCCTACTAAAGGGGTCACATCATAGCTGCTCCGCTCCTGTGCCTACGAAAACACACAGAATGTTTATCACAGTCCCTTATGGAAAGATTGACAGACTGCGGTCTCAGCATATGCACTAGCATACACACGCATTAAAAGCATACGGTAGCCATCAGAAGTGCTAACACAAACAGTCCGACATTAGAAAAGCAGTTCATCATCGATGGTAGCAGAGGTCACCAACATATCAGCAGTTGCACACGCGATCAATTTTAATCACAAAATAGCACCACCAATATTGCGACAACAGGCATCGCGCCATTTTCAGAATCTACAATTCACACCACCACGTTGGTAACTGTCGAAACATTTTCCAAATGAAATCCGCAACTCACAGTACCGCGCCATGTACTCAGCTCAGAAGCTGGGCGACGAAACGATATCCTTTCAGTCTACAAATGGAGCAAAAATGCAACTGCCGCCGTCTGGCAGAAGCAAAAATTTGCCACGGCTCAAAACAGTGACAATGTCTAGCGTCCATTTTGACATACATGGATACTATATGTAAGGAAACGAACTTTAATCATGAAGAAGATATTACAAAATTACTATTCGCCGACGACGAAGTTCTCATAGCAAAAAGTACGAAATGCCTACAGAACCACCTAAATCAAATTAGTAACAAAGGGGAGGAATATAATATGAAAATAAACACCACGAAGACAGAGACAATGATGATAGGAAGACAGAAGGTTTCCAACAGCCTTCCAGAACGAGAATGATAAAGAACCAATGCTCGTAGATAAAGTTGCTGCTTAGACAGCTACTGAAAAGACCACAAAAGCTTCCTTTCCGCTTCAAAAGTTCGTGGTTGTTGTTATTCAACCCCACTAGGACCAAACAACGAGCGACCTACATCCAACATAACGTGCCACCCTTCGGATGAGAATCACCAGGGCACAAGTCCCAGAAACCCCCGTTCAGCCGTTAAGTTATATAAAGGTCCCGACTATGGCCGGGTTGGGACTTTAAACAAAACATTTCGCCCCTGTATTAGGACGTGATGCATCTTAATTAATGGAGAAAGTAGAGAAGATAAGGCCCGTGATGAAATTCAACATCTTTGAAGAACAAATCCTAAGCATTATTGTTAACAATAGGTGGTACTCATGCAGCATGTTTCATGGCTAGGCCTGCATTGTTTACCCAAATGCCGCAGAAGCTGCCTGATCAGAAGTCCAATGTTCTACCTGGGAGCTTCCCTCATAGACCAGCAGCCAACGAAGGTTATGAGTCATGTCTGCCCTGCCACGTTTTCAGATTGTATTTCCTCGTCATAGCATAAGTAAGGCTAGGTAGGTGGGTATCTGTACCCACCAGGGCATCGCACAAACGATAAACATCTTGTGACACAAAGTGCCACCAGGCGGAAAAGGATAACCCGTGGAGAGGTCCTAGAAATCCCGTTCAGCCGTTAGGCCATATTTCAGGGCCGGCTATATTTAGGGACCTGGCAAGACGAGATATAAGTAAGGTTAGCCTCCCCTATACACTTCTCCACCCCAAGTTGTTGGCACGATATGGGATTATACGTTTGGTTAAGACTTTCAACATTCTGTGATAACAGAATCAGTACTACCGACTACTGTTGCACAGAAGTTCAGTCATGTCGGTATAAAAATAAAACAAACACATTTATTTGAAACAATATATTTTCTCTCATTCATACAAAGAAATAATGTTCTTAATATTAGAAAATCAACCAATATCAAAGCTTTTAAATGGGGAGTTACACTAAATATCTGGCTCACCAGGAAACCAAACTCAGAACACAGGAACTGGATGAAACATCCTGGGGAACTCATACAACAACATGAAGGCAGGTAGACCTTTTATGGTAATTCTGCTAATTGACATAGCATATACAGATTGTGCTATTTCCAGGGAGAGTGTGGCGTTTTGCGTTGTTGTTCCCCCCCCCTCACTCCCTCCGTCCTTCTCCCCCCCCCCCCCTTTTCTCCCCTCAACTGAACATTTGAGACAAACTGGTCAGTGTTTCCCAACTGTCCCAAATGAAGTTGAGCTGGAAGGGAGGATGGAACGGTCCGTAGGGTGGTACGAATTTCTGGTACAATTATGTATCATCATCATCAAGTGTCTTGTTGACTGGCGTGGGCGATCATGCCTCTCCATAATCTACAATCTCCTGCAGTATGTATTAGTTCGTGTGCCGACACACCTTCATGCCATGCAACAAGACTGTCAAGAATCTTCTCTCGTTGTCTTCCTCTATCCCTCATTCCACAGATCTTTCCAGTGGTCACAACGTGTTCTATTTTCCCTCTTCTCATAACATGGACGAAAAATGATGACTGTCTCCTTCTAATGTCTGTGATAATTTGTCTTCGGGCTCCCTCTTTCAAAACCTTTTGGTTGCTCTTTTTCTCTGTCCGATGTATTCTAAACATTCTTCTGTAAAACCACATCTCTGAGGCCTGAATAAATTCTTTGGCCTGCCTACCGATTGTCCAGGATTCACAGCCATATTTTAAAACTGGATATATGTAGCAAGCAAGACTTCTTTTTCTTTCAACGACAATGATAAATTGCACAAGATGTTCTTCACTTTATAAAATGCAGTTTTTGCCTGTCCTATTCTGTGTTTTATCTCAGCTGTGCATTTTCCATCTGATGTTATCCATGTGCCCAGATACTTGAATTGCTGTACTTGTCCTAAAATAACACCATCAACTTTTATTACACATTTAGGAATAATTCGTTTCTTTGATACCACCATTACTTCTGTCTTCCTATTATTCAAACTAAGGCCCATTCTTCCACTTTCTAACACCACAATGTCTATCATTTCCTGTAGTTCTTTGTGACTTGTTGCTATCAAGGCTGTGTCATCAGCATAACGTAAATTGTTTATATTGTGCCCACCAATCATAATTCCAGGCATATCAATTTAAGATCTCATTATATATTCACTGTATATTAAAAACAAATCAGGTGACAGTACATATCCTTGTCGTACGCCCCTCTTTATGCTTTGAAATGTACCTAAACAGCTGCTAATTCTTATAGCTGCTGTTTGCTGCCAATACATATTCTTTATTATTCGTAGATCTTTTTCATCAGTGTTTAATTTTTCGAACAGTTTGATTACTTCTTCATGCTTTACACAGTCAAATGCTTTTGTATAGTCTATGAAGCATAATTACAAATCAGTCTTTACTTCTATAGCTCTTTCTGACAATGTCCTTAGGATGTATATGACATTGTTTGTACC